CAAATTGTATGTCTATGCAAAACAATATTTTATCTTTCGGATGGCTGGTGGCCCAACCCTACTTGACTACTTGAAACAATACACAAGATTGTCAGGTAATGAGCAATTCTATGACCAACTTGGTCCTAGGGTCTGCAGAGAGTAACTATTCAAATAAAAATAGAGAAAACACACCTTGGAATGACCTGTAGCCTTACTTCTTCACGGTAACTTCAGAAATTTTCAATCATGCAACTAGAACCATCGACCTTAATTGCCACACTTGCTCCACTCCTTTGAATACCTTTTTCCTCCTTGAGAGGCCCCCAAGATTTATGGAGGGTTGATGTTTGTTATGTAGCCCAAATGGTGTAGGAAGGCTGCTGTATGACTACAATTTTTCTATTGTAATATATTGACTTCAAGAGTATATCATGATAATAGTCTTGGAGGCTTGCATGGCTCAGGGGTGTTCTTTGGCTTCAAACTGATATGGGAGACTTTAGGGACATTAGAGAGTGAGTGAGGAGGCTTTGGGACATGGCTAATGGCTGGGTGAGTGTGTTTGCATGGGCTTCTCCCTTTAGGTTAGAATGTGTTTCCTTGTGTGTGAGAAGGGGTGGGTATTTATAAAGTCTTGGAGAGGGTTCTAAAAGGGAATGGAGGGCTGATATTGGAGATAGGAGAGATCAGTGGATGAAATTTAAAGAATTTTTGGAGGGAGATTGTTTGAAGAAAGGGACTGTCAAGACCACTTTGGGAGAGATCATCTCAATCAATCAAAACAATAAGTGGAAAATTTCACCAATTTGTCTAAATTGAACATTCTAGGTTTAGGTGATTGGCTTGATTGATTGGAGGCTCCTTAGCTGGTTAAATTTTAAATTTTAAATTTTAAGATGGTTCTAGATGTTAGGAGAAAGATCTGGTCGTATGGGTCCCAAGGGTCAAAGTTGTAGTGAAAAAGATTTCAAATGGAGGGTCTGGATCGAGTCTAGCTTTGGGTCTCAAGATCGAGAGGTTAATGGTGTCAGAATTGGACAATCTTGGTATTGTTAGACTCATAATTTCGAGATCTATGCATCTACTAGGTTGGATTTTTTTATTTCCTGTGAGATATGGTTCAAGATAAAAAAAAATGATCCCAATCAAATGATGAAAATTGGTTTTGGCTTTGAGTCTTTAGATGAAGGGGTAAACAGTGTCAAATTTGGGTGATCTTAGTATCATCGAATTTGGAATTTTGGGATTTATGTGCTTATGGTGTTTGATTTCGAATTTGATGTGAAATGAGGTTCATGATCAAAATGATATCAATTAAACAACCGAAATTGATTCTAGATTCAGGTCTTGAGATGAAGGGTTATGTGCCTATGGTATTTGATTTCTAATTTGATGTGAGATGAGGTTCAAGATCAAAATGACCCTGATCCAATAATTGGAATCGGTTCCAGCTTCAAATCTTATGATGAGGGGATAAACGGTGTTAGACTTGAGTGATCTTGATATCGTCAGATTTGGAATTTTAGGCTCTACATATCAACGGTGTTCAATTTATAATTTGATGTAAGATGAGGTTCAGGATCAAAATGACCCTGATTAGACGATCATAATCAAATTTAGCTTTGAGTCTTAAGATGAAGGAGTAAAGGGTGTCAAGTTTGGGTGATCTTAGAGTCATCGGATTTGGAATTTTGAGATCTACATGCCTATGGTGTTGGATTTTTTTATTTGATTTGAAATAATGTTTAGGATCAAAATGATCCCAATTGGATGATTGAAATCGGTTTCGGCTTCAGGTCTTAAGATGAATGGGTAAATGGTGTCAGATTTAGGCGATATGGGTGATCAGAATTGAATTTTTGGGTTCTACATGCCTATGGTATCGGATCCTAGAGGTCTAAACTTTTGTAACATTCCAAAAATGCCTCCGAGTTGATTTAGATGTTAGTTGAAGCATGCTTGAAGCTCGAAGTGCTGCAAAAAGGCTAAATGGTGCAAAATTGGGATGTCTACACTAGTAAATAACAATCAGGGGTAGAGCTGGGGACAATAAATATCTAATAAAAAGCTTTAACATCTCTAAGTTATTTAATCTATTTTTGTACTATATCAATATTATTTAAATTTTTTAAACTATTTATAGTTTATATTCTTATTATCGAATATAATTATTTTTTTGAAAATTAGTTATATTTTTATTATTATTATCAAATATTATTTAAATCTTTTATAATTAATTTTGTGTTTTATAATTTTTTTAAAGTCATTATATAATTTCATTATTTAATATTTTTAAAATAATATTTAAAACATAATTTAGTTATTAGAATTTTTTATATTAAAAATATTTAAAAATTAGTTATTTACAATATTACTTAGCTGTTTAAATAATATCATTGTTTAAAATTTTAAAATATTAATTATTTATTAGATTTAATAATCCATAAAATTATAATTTATACTATTTCGAATTTTATGATAAATATTTTTCTACTTTTAAGTTTTTTTAATTTATTACATAATTTCATTATTTTAACTATTTAAAATTTAGTTATGATAAATATTTCATTATTTTAGTTATTTAAATATTTAAATAATATTTTATTATTATTTTTTTAATTTTTATTATTTGAATACCATTTTTTATTTATTTTAAAGTTATTATGTAATATTAAATATTTTGTTATATAATTATTTAGCTACTTTTAGCATTTTGTTATTTAAAATAGTTAGTATTTAAATAATACTATTTTTTATTTTAAATTTTTATTATTTGAATAACGTTTAAATAATTTTGTTATTTAAATTTTTAAAATATTATTTAGATATTAAATTGGATAACCTGTAAAATTATAATTTGTATTGTTATTACATTATTTCATTATAATATTTAAATAATCGTTAAATTTTTAATTCATACTTTATATAGATATAGATGATAAGTGGGGGAGATTATATATAGGAATTAGGGATAATAGAGATAATTTAGAAGAAATGTGTCACGTAGCTAGAGGGGATATGAACAAATCGGAGTAAGGATTGACTTTATAAAATACTCATATCTTTTCCTAAAAAATAGGTGCTAACTATATGAGTTTTACTGGCTTCCTAATAAAAATGAGAGGACAAAGGGAGATAAGGCCTGCTAGGTAGCAACTCTATATATATCTATATATATATATACATCCCCTCAATCACATGCCCTTCTACTAGTCATTTAAAAAAAAAAAAAAACTCTTTCATATAATTCAAGACAAAGTCATTAGAACACTGTTTTCCCAAGAGTTTTGAGATCTCCCAGCATAGGGATTTGTTACAAACAAAATGCTCCCAACGTTGTCTCAACAGGCACTTAAGCCATACATTAGAAACATTATAGTGTTGGGACTCCAAGACACAAATCATGTTGAAAATATTGAGAACATCTCATGGCATTGTGGGATGCACTCCATGGGGTGCCAATGTGAATTCTTAATGGTTGATCAAATCTTTATTTTTATACTCTTTTTACAAAAGATCCTTTTCTTTTTTCATAGGGCTACACAATGGAATCCCGATCTCCTGCTCACATATTATCACAGCCACAAATGGAGAACATCTCATCCTCCTACACAGTATTATACAAAGGGAGATATTCCTAATGAACAGGGGTAATGTGTTGTGGGTAGACATAGGCAGAATTATTGTGGGTAGGAGATCTGGAGTCTATACAACGGGGGTGGCCCATCGCCACGAGATAACATGTTGCCCCAATAGGGCTCCACAATACATCCCAACTGTGTATTAAGAGTCCCAATGCACACTGAAGTGTGCATGTTGGACGCCTGTGGGGCGCTGACGTGATTTCATCCCCGTACCCATAATCCCCCAACCTGCTACGATAAATCTTACCAACCAGCCAGTTGGCAGCTTACCTTCAAATCCAATAATTGTGTTTCAATTTATTTTGGTTGATAGGGGGAAAAGAGGAACTCCGATGCTCCAATGTTACTCCTATTGGAGCTAGGCTAAAACCGTAAAATCGACAATTCATCTCCAACGAGTTTTAAGCTCGTGAAACTCATTGATGCCAAACACAACTTAATTCAAATCTAATAAGCTCAAGTGTATTGGTGTTGCCCATTTCAAAACCATTCACAGATTTAATCCAAGTGGTGTCGATTTAACCACGCGAATGGGAATGGCTGTAGTGCTGGCACTATACACTTGTTTTTAAGCCTTTGAGAAACGCCGTAGCCTTCACTCGACCTTGTGGCTAGCATTCCTCTAATCAAAGCTTAAACATTTTATCACGTATCTTTTGAAGTTTCAACTCTCAAGTCTCAACTAACCCCTTGGGTCGGCCCGACTCGTAACAGTCACGGTCAAAGTAGTCATTATTTAATTATTATTTTCCCTGAACATTCTATATCTATATAATAATGAAATAATTATTAATATTATAATTAAGACGAATGCATCTTAAACCGTACATCTTGAATAAACGGGACCCACTTGCGCTGATTGATTCCAGATTTGTGATAGTATGGCTTTTTACTAACCATAGCCCTTTTACTACTATATTATTGCATTTAATTATATGATAGGGAATTTGGGATGTTATGTCACGCGACAAAACACCGCCTCTGAATCCGGGCCGTGAGTAGATTTCCATCTTACCAACCAGAAAAATAAGGTAGATTAGATTTCCGTCCTTATTCAACCCTTAAAATTAAATTACATAACAGTTGGTAGACATCGATCTAGCCGCTCATGTGGAATCTTCTTCCTATCTTGTGGTATTGATTATACAACTTTTGTCTGCAGATCGGACGGCTCGGAGGTTTAGATCTATGAAGCTTTATTTCCTAAAGTAACACTGGATCTTTATGATCCAACGGTGCACTTTTTATCAAATTTCGATAATATATATTTTTTTACTGGAGTAGGAAATTTCCAGAGATCACATTAGAAAAAGAAATAAAATAAATAAGAAATTTTACCTAACGAAAGACAACACTATAAAAGCAGCCCAAAAGGTAGGAAGAAAGGTACCAGAGATCACATCTTCGTTTGGGTGTCACGCCTCTCTCTCCCTCTCCCCGATTCTCTGATTCTCTCGTGTTTTTTCCTTTGCTGATCTGACCAGCTTAAAAACCCTAAGAGTTTGCTAAAATATTTTGAGAATCTTTAGTTATAGCATTGGTTTGATGGGAGAGATCGGATTATTCCGGTAGAATAAGCCAAATTTTGGCGTGATTGGTCGAAATCCGGCGTGAGTTCCCGACGGTCGTGATCGGTGCGTCTGTTTGTTGTCTTATACGCATGAGCTGGTTCGTTAACCTGGGGATTTCTTCGAATTCGAACCATTTCATCACCTGCCTCTTGATTTTTATCCTCCATTATTCGCCTCAGTTGCCTCCTGCCTTGTTTAAATTTGAGAAGCCATTGGAGCCTAGATTAAATTCAGAACAATATGGAGTCGAGATATCAGAGTAATCGCCAATTGAAGAGAGGTTCGTTCCAAAAGTTTCCTTCTTTGTTTTCCAAGATTTTTCATGGTTTGAGATTATTTTCTGTTTGTCGGTGGAATCTCTGCTGTTTATTCGTTTTATTGGCTTGCTTTGAATTTCTTAGGGCCTGATCGTTCTTAAAATTCTTGCTTTACTCAATTGTTTCTCCCCTTTTCCTTTACTCTTTCTCTCCCTTTGAAAAATCGAAACATGCATGTTGACACACGATCCTTGTATTTGGGTGCTTTTTGACTGGCTTTTATTATGTTTCATGGTTGATGTTTTATTAAACCGGTAAATTTTCTTGCCCTCCATGCACTTTGAGAACGATGATGGATATGACGCGGGACAACATGCATGCATGGACACATGGATGCTCTTACCATGCATTTAGGCATTCAGGGTGTGCATGCATACGTATAGGGTAGCTTTATGTATGTATTTACAGGTATACTTGTCCCTTGTATATAAATTCATGTCATGCATACATCCATATACACATAGCAGCATGCATTATCACTTCGTCAGGCGTTACAGACGAGAAGATCCAAGGTTTTAGAACCCCTGGATTAAAAATGATCATAACACTCTGTAATTCAACAGATGTAGTTGGGACCTTGAAAAGTCGACAATGGCCTTCTGGGTTAGCAGATTGCAGTGCTTTGTTAGACTGCATACGTACGTATACACACACCCAGAAGAAAATGAATAAAATTGTCTAGAACTAATAGCGCTGTTTATCTTCTTTTAGAATTTCTGGCACTACTCTGTATCATTCTCAAACACTAAAGGTATCCACGTGCATGCATATATATATATACATGCTTGATTGCAAAAGTTCTGAGGGTTCTTTGCCCTTCAGTTTTGTACTTTGTAGTTTGCAGAGACTACCTTGTAGAGAAGTGACGTGGAAATTTTAAACAGTATCTGTTGAACGGCCCTGTGAACTAGTACAGTCCTCCACTCCATATTAGAACATAATACCCTGCTGTGTGCTGAAACCTCCAGAAGTAATGGTTTTATCCATTTGGAGGGATCGCAAGCCACTTATATAGTTTCCTGTCTGCATCAGACCCCACTATGGGTTACTAGAATCCCCATTTACACTTACATGGTGTTCTTGACATTTTCTGATATATATTTTATGTCGGATGTGGTTCATCACATCATTTTTTCTTTTTCTAGGTAGGATGTGATGCTGCCTGGAAAATAACAGCCCATGATGTTTTTAATATTTTTTTAGTGCAAATGAAGGTAAAAGTGATTATGGCAAGATGGTGTGCACACAAGGTGATGATGTTGGGAAGATTTGTTTCCATTTGAGCCATGACATTGTTTCCATGAAAAAATTGTCTAACAGCTAAATTTGGAACCGACTTAGCCAAATACATTGGGCAATTTGCACCTCTGTTTAATATTTTAGAAGTCATTTATAGTTTTTAAGGTTTCAAAAAACAATAACTGACATAAATTTCTTTGTAACCATACACGGTTGCTTCCAATTTTCTCAATTAATTGTGTGATATTGTTGGAGAAGAAACAATGAGTAGATGACAAACTCTCTGGTTGTTAGTTCATTTTAACAAAACTACATTATGGCGATCCATAAAAAAAACACTACATAATGACAAAGTATCTGCAAATTTTAACATATTATGACTACAATTTCATGAACAGAATCTAAGTTGTGTGAATTTGACATAAATTCCTTTTCCTAGAATTTGATATGCAATTCTCATTGTTGAACTGCTAATATTCTTAAATTAAAGATGTTAGTGACTAAATTGACTGGTAAGTATTGGAAGAACTTCACTTTTTTAGTACTTGAAATAAAAAACTTGGTGTATGGTCGTTGAACAATTTTGGTTAAAATTCTAGGGCATCTTTCAGGAAATGATTTTAAAAGTGAACATAATAATCGTATGCTTCAGATTCCATAGCAGTGTTTCCAATTCATGGTTAAATTCCAAGGATATATTGATCTTATTTACTATGAATTGTTTGTAACTCAAACTATAATGACTGTGATGAACATTGACAAGTGATTTTTAGTTTTTATTTCAAAGTGATTTATAATATAGAAGTTTTAACAATTTCTAGCCTTTTTACCCCACAAGTCTAAATCTAGCTTTGTCCTTGTTATTGCAGCTGCTTGCTACTCAACTGTTGGGGGAAGGCAATCCTCACCTTCTGTCATTGTCATAGGTGGTGGCTTTTCTGGTATTGCGGCTGCTCGTGCTCTCCATGATGCCTCCTTTCAGGTAAGAGATTTTCTCTTGCATTGTCTATATCACTCTACTATATCCATCTACCACACTTTCATGGAAATTTTTACACATGTAACATGTATTGCTCCTTTGCTTGTCAACCTGATCTAGTATTTCTCACAGGTTGTTTTGTTGGAATCACGGGATAGAATTGGAGGTCGTGTATACACCGACTATAGTTTTGGTTTTCCTGTTGACTTGGGTGCATCATGGTATGCTTCTTTTCTCGTTGTTCTTTTGTATAATCCACATATCCTTTGATGCAAATGTGGATGTCACCTCTCAGTTGTAATGGGATTTTAAGCTTTGTATCTTGTACATCATGCACCAGGTTGCATGGAGTTTGCAAAGAGAATCCTTTGGCACCTGTGATTGGAAGACTCGGACTACCTCTCTATCGTACTAGTGGAGATAACTCTGTACTGTATGACCATGATTTGGAGAGGTAATACTTTTATTTTGACTTCGTTTCTGTTTATGATATATGTTTCGTAGCCATTTTCTACTTGACTTGCATGCAAACAAGCTAAAGGAGTAATGGTGTAGCCCCTGAATCATAGTCTTCATCCTAGTTTAGCTTGGCTATACTATGTTATCCATGTGGTAAATGAAAATTATTTGATGGATTATAGTGCCGAGCCCAAACAGAATTTTGGTTAAGAACCCCTATCAAGCTGATTGATTGGTTGCCCTGTTGAAAAGATAGTCTACCCACTTATTGTAGCCCCCCTTTACATTTTTATTCTCTTGGTGTTTGGAACTTCAGGCTGCACCATGATAAAGAAAATTAACATGTATATGTGAATGGACTGGCTGGGTTCTTATTATGTATTCTGTCTCTATCTTTCATTTGCAGCTATGCACTCTTTGATACCAATGGGAATCAAGTTCCTCAAGAACTGGTGACAAAGGTTGGTGAAGTATTTGAGAACATTTTAAAAGAGGTATGCCTTTTCATCTTTTCATTATTGCCATATGTGCATGTGCTTCAGGTGCATACAAAATTACTAGGGAACATAAACTTGCATGATTGTATCAATCTCCAGCATTGATATGATGTCTCTAGCATGAAATACATTCATATGGTTATATTTTTATAGCATTAACTTCTTTTTTCTTATATCATAAGCTTGTAGGCAGTGTAATAGGAATACACTTGGAATAATCTGATGAAGGGTAAAAGAATATATAAGATGCACCATAATTGATAGATTTTTTGATAAAAAAATGTCTTGACATTATTTAACATGAATATGGTGATCAACACAATATTTAAGATTGAAAGTTGTATGGTAATACCTTCACAACAAGATGTGAGAACTTTCTCATATGTATGTAGCTTCACAACAAGATGTGAGAACTTTCTCATATGTATGTAGCTTGCTGATTTTATCTGCTCATGGGTTGCTGGTCTTATCTCTTTATGGTTTTCTGATTTTTTTTTTTTTTATATTTAATGTTTCCAGACAGACAAAGTCAGGCAGGAGCAGAGTGATGACATATCAATAAGCCGTGCTGTTTCAATTGTTTTTGAAAGGCGGTCAGATCTGAGGTTTGTTTATTTATTCATTTCCATTGGTTATGAGATATCTACTTACCTTGGTAATTAAAGACATCTATATATTGTGACTTCTGTTGCAGGCAAGAAGGTCTTGCTTACAAGGTATTGCAGTGGTACTTGTGTAGAATGGAAGGTTGGTTTGCTGCAGATGCAGATACCATCTCACTTAATGGCTGGGATCAGGCAAGTCTTCTATTGACCAAAATATTTTATGAATAACTTCAATGACTGTTAGTGGTTACCATTATGAATATTAGACATTCTGTGAGACATTTATTTGGCATTTAATTTGATTACATGTATGGATAAAATATATAATTTAAATTTCACTTTGTTGAAAAGTAAAATACATAGGTGCCTCTTAGATGCCATGGATATATTTGGTGAGTACAATGATCTTTTATGGTATTAGAAATTGTGTCAGAATCTTTTAGGTGTACATCATTAATGAGTTTACAGAAAAAGGATACTGGGGACCTGCAATAGGCAAGGCCTGTCTGCAAAGTGCTTTGGAATTGGGAAAGCAGAAAGCTCCATTGTACACAAAGGGTTGCTCCTACATGTAGAGCATATTCCTTGTATTAGTACACTGTCCTTAGTTTTTATTAATAAAATTGGATTCTTCTCCAAGAAAAAAAAGGTTCCTGCTTTTTCTTTTTAATGAACTTCCTATTAACTACAAAGAAAGGTTTTACAGAGAAAAATGTGGTACTGTATTATTTTTGTCCCGTAAGTTCTATTAATTAGTTATGCGAAATGTCAGTTGAAATGTACTGTTTTTTTAGATAGATCTTGTGCCTTAAATTATCGGCATACAGGGAGATAACATGGTTTAATTTATTTATTTTTTTATCAGTAACTCTGTGTATCTTATGGTTTCCCTTCTCTTGTAGGAAGTTGTAATATTCTGATGTTATGGAACAGAGTTTTTTAGCCGTACTGCTAGAAGTCCATTAAAAAGAAAAAAAATTCATGAATTATCTGGCACCACATGAGGGCACCCTGCTTTCTGGTCAAAGATTATATACCCTCTTTTTATGTGTGCAAGCCCAAGAAGGCAAACAATAGCCTATAAGAAAAAGAAGGAAACAATAAAACCTAGTCGAAGTCTAATAATGGAAGGAAGGTGATACAGTGATAGTTACTGAATGCCTTCGACTGTTTAGTGTCATAGTTAGCTTTTGCCTTATAAACAGTACAAGTATGAGGATCTGTTACTTAACAACACTCACCAAACAACAAAAAAATAATGCGGTGTTTGTCCATCCGCCGCTGTTTGGTAATCGTAGAAAAGAATTTGCTGCCATTAAACTACACTAAAGGATAACTGCAAAGTAACAAGAATATGTTATCTTTTTTTGTAGGTTGACTATTTCTAAACCATAATACCTAGGAAAAAACATGACAAATGAAATAAAATGTATATGGACAATATCTTTTTGTTGCTACTCACCATACTACTTCACTGTTTTTCTGTCATATCTGGTTATCTTGCTTTGAAAATTAACTTTACTCTTTAATCACTTCACCTGTAGTCATGTGTCTTCCAAAATTATTGTTTCTTTTTGAATGACAGACTAAACTATATGGATTTTTTTTCTGAAAGTAAGCACTACTTAGGTCCATACTGTTGAATGGTTCTTGGGACTTACCCCACATGAATCGCGGAGACCACTCAATGGGTGTGGATCCTAAGGAGTATGTTACTCAAGAGAACTCTTCAAATTTTTGAGACAGAGCTTCATTGCACACTTAAATTAACTTTTCTTTTTATCTCGTACAGGAAGTACTGCTTCCAGGTGGCCATGGACTAATGGTTCGGGGTTACCGCCCAGTTATAAACACTCTTGCTAAAGGTCTTGACATTCGTTTAGGCCACAGGTATTAGTTGGTCGATCCAATTAATGGTGAATGTGGGTCTATATCCTGCTTATGAACTTCAATCAGCTGACATTTGATTATCCATGTCTGGTTGTCAGGGTTACAAAGGTTGTTCGACGATATAATGGAGTCCAAGTCATCACTGAGGATGGTACAACATTTGTAGCCGATGCAGCTGTTATTTCTGTTCCCCTTGGAGTATTGAAAGCCAAAATCATTGAGTTCGAACCAAGGCTACCAGAATGGAAAGAAGAAGCCATAGAAGGCCTTGGAATTGGGATAGAGAACAAGATAGTTCTACACTTTGACAAGATTTTCTGGCCAAATGTGGAGTTCTTGGGAGTGGTTGCTTCTACTACATATGGATGCAGCTACTTCCTAAATCTTCACAAAGCAACAGGTCATCCTGTCCTTGTGTATATGCCTGCAGGACAGCTCGCCCAAGACATAGAGAAGATGTCTGATGAAGCTGCTGCAAATTTTGCATTTATGCAACTCAAGAAGATACTTCCAGATGCTTGTGAACCAGTACGTTGCTTTAAAACCTCTGGCACTTAATCTTTCCATTCCACAGACACCTCCTGATTAACCTTGATAATGCAACTAACTGGACCAATAGGAATTTTCCCCAATGAGCCAAAATGTTTCGTTTGTCATAGGAGATTTTACCCTGATATTCTATTTTGCAGGCAAGCACAACGTAGGAAATTTATTTTTTCACCCTTGAAGACTGCTATGAATGTCTTGAGTGCCTTGAGAACGGTTGCTAACAATTTCTAACTTTGGAATTTTGTTTTGCAGATTCAATATCTTGTCTCTCACTGGGGAGCGGATGTCAATTCGCTTGGATCATATAGCTATGATAGAGTAGGGAAATCCCATGATCTGTATGAGAGGCTAAGGATCCCTGTAGACAATCTCTTCTTTGCTGGGGAGGCAACAAGTATGGCCTATCCAGGGTCTGTCCATGGAGCATTCTCCACTGGACTGATGGCTGCCGAGGACTGCAGAATGCGTGTCCTAGAAAGGTACGGGCAGTTGGATTTGTTCAACCCTGTCATGGGTGAAGAGACGGCATCTGTGTCTGTCCCTCTTCTCATCTCTCGGATGTAATTAATTAATCTACGTAAATCTGGATAGCCTTTTTGATTGGAATCCATGTAAACATGGGAAATCCATTGTTTTCTTAGGATTTCCCAGGCATTTCCAAGTGATGTGTTTTCATTGTCGAGTAAGCTAGTGTGTGTGTGTCTCTGAGTATGTGGACTTATTTTCTTGTCAGTATGTAGACTGTTTCTCGAGAAATACGCTCACTTCATAAGTGGGAGTTATAGTTATTATTGGACTGCAGCAGATAAATAGATTACTACTATAAGAAGAGATTTTAAGACACATTGCCTCTGGTTTCATCTCTTCAGATTATGTTGAAATTCTCGTTTTGTTCAGCTCACTGAATTTGTCTGTTGTTCAGGCAGCCTTGCAAATAAATTAATGTGTAATTCACATGTAAACGGGAGAGGGGTCCTTCCCCTCGTTGAAAAATTCACTTGGAAGACGTTTATATGGTCAACTAACTTCTTATCTTCTCCTCATCCTTCAGTGACCTTTCCGAAATTGCCAAAAACTTGAACAGTATCCTTTCGTTCTCAGTTCTCTCTGATTGAGGAAGATAATGGTTGAATCCATTATGTGGGTAGATTTTTCCAATCAATCCTCTTAGGGGTAACAGAATAAAGGAATCTCAAATAATGCTTTGGGTTGACATAATCCATCCACTATAGACCTGTTCACTTATTTGAATTTTGAACCACTAACCACTCCATTGTCTATTGTGACCACGTGTCTAGTGGTATGTGTCCCTTTTGACCTACCAAGTGACTAGATACTTTAAATGCATGTTGGTGCTCTGCCATTTCTCTTCTCTCTTCTTTCTCTATCTTTTTCTCTTTAAAATTAAAATTATATAAGCAAAACTAGACTAGAATCTAGATAGAAGGGTTGCGTACATGAATCAATGGAAACCAACCTCTAGACCTGGGGGTAGCTCTTACGAGTTCTCAACCAGAAAATCAATAGCTAGGCAAAGAAACTTCTGTGTATCTGTTGCTGGCTGTTTTATTTTTGAGGTTTTTATAGTTCAGTCCACCCCATAAATCTGAGCCCCACGGTACAGGTGGGATGAATCCTGACTGTGGATTGATGCCAAATCCACAGGCAGGATGCAGTTTATGGGAGGGGGGGGGGGCTGTAATTTCAGATTTCTGAGGTGAATTGCAGTCTATTTATCCCTTTATTTTTTGTTGCTCTATGATGAATCTCAAGGTATCATTCAACCTAAAAGTTTGTGCTGTTAGGTGAGATCCCTGATTAGGTTTTTATTCTCTAACATGCCAACTCATGCAATGGCTATTGAACTTGAAACATGGACAAGTACAGGCCCACCCATACCTTGTACTAAAATTTAATTAATTATAGTGGGGATAATGAAGATCAAACACTGGACCACTTGATCAAATATGATATTTTCAATGAACTATTCAACCTAAAAGCTCATGTTGTTAGGTGAGATCTCTGATTAGGTTTTTATTCTCTAACAATGAAAAATCCTATTTCATGTCTTTGACGACATTGTTTGTGGTTTTGAAACCTGCAACCGTTGTTCCAGAACTAGCAAAACCACTTATTTCACACACAGTAATTGTGTCTGACTATAGTATCCAAAAGGTATGGTCCTTAGAGAAAATTGATTACCAATAACTGGTATACTATCATCCATTGATATTCAATCAATTGGTATGCATTCAAATTTAGCGTGGGTTTCTAATTGGTTAACGATTTTAGGTGAAGTGCCGCCAGTTTATTTCTAAGTATAAACTTAGAAAACTTGGTTTACTGATGAAAGCATGACATGACAATCATATGGCGTGTGAAAGTACATGTGAGTCATGATCAATACTCATCTTATGGTTAAAAAAAAAAGAACCACTGACATAACAGCTTTTTCATTTTCTGGTTATGCATTGTTATTTTATAAAAAAATGGTACATCTTTTGAATCATATCGTCCTTTTTAAAATCAAGAACCAAACACAGCCTATAATGCCTAATTAATGACAATGTACGGTGGTGTTCAATCCTGGATTTAAATAAAAAAAAGGTGGAATCATTCAGAAAATTTACCAATTGTTCGACAAAATGACGATGTATTTTGTTTTAATTAAACAATACAAAAGAATGTATCGATTGTGATTCATGCATGAATGATGTAAATGCAATCTCATCGCTCATTTTTTATTGTACAGTAGGTACTGAACAAAATGATTGGAACCATTTTGGCGTGTGAGATACATATATTTGCCATGTCTTGTTTACATCAGCCAATATTGGGGCTGGAACTTGACTAGTTGGTCTGTTCAAAGAAAAGGGGATTTTGCTTGTTTACATCAGCCAACATAGATTTCTCATCCTATGATCCTATCATATCTTCCTTTACCCAAGAAGAAAAGAGCTCACATTCTGCCACCATGTTGCACCATTGCTTTGCAACCGACAATAAAACACCTATTTTCTTTAAATTCAAAATAGGTATGATATACTTTTAACGTTTCCTTGTTTCCAACAATGTTAGGTTCGTATTCAGTACATTCAGTCCAACATTGGGTGATGCCTTCTATAGCTAATTCGTCCTTGTTTTATTGGGCAGTCACAAAAGATGCTGCAACCATATTTGCAGCAGCTGTCAAACTCATGCCAATTTCAAAATAAGTAAACTAAGTGCTATAAATAAACAAAATTTTAGAGAATAATGTTGATAGAAATGATAGCAGTGAATTGTGAAACAAGCAGCTAGTAAGTTAAAATTGACTTGGCTCAATTCCAAGAGTTAGAAGCCTATGCTAAACTATAATGTTATTTCAAGCAATAATTACAAAGAAAATGAATATGTTATGGATATCTAAATAAATTTCACACAGCAATCCTCCATATGCTTTTACATTGGAGCAACAAGATGGATATTGCTATTAAATGTGAAACCCTAGCCTTGAAATCTCTATTGTACATACATCCTCTCACAGTTTGACCAATCAGATGATTTTTCTTTTCTCTCATTTCCAATTATTTACCCATTTCCTTACAGGCAAATAGTGAAGCAGGAGAACAATTGTAGTAAGAATGAAACCCTGCATGAGATGACAAAACTTACCTATACATTGGGCTTGTCAAATTGCCATGGACACAGATAAATATCCATAACTGAAACTTTCTGCAATTTACTGGTAAATGCTTGGGAGATTAAACAGCAGAACACCCACTCACAAAATTGAACTGAAACTTTCAATTGGATCCGCTTCTTCAAGCATAGATGCTGCTTGGAAGCAGTCACAAGCATCAGCTATTCTTCCATCATCCTTATGAATCATTCCTAAGTGATACCAAGCTGCACGGTTCGTGGGTTCAAGCCTCAATGCATCTGATAGGAAGCTTCTTGCTACAGGTAATGCCTTTGGGCCCATTTTCCGAAGCAATGCACCCATGAAGACCCTGGAAGGCACATAACTTAGGTCCAGTAAGAGGCCATTACTATAAGCAGCCAATGCTTCTTGGATTTGTCCACGTCCCTCATTCATAAAGCCTAGTATAATTCATTGTAAAACAAAAACAGAAATCATTTAAACTTTACAATTCATAGAAAATGGGGGCTTTTGAGAGGATGGGAATTGCAAAATTTTACATGATATCTTAAAAATGGTTTGCAGGATCTGATTCATTGCACACAACCAGCCTAGTGGCAGTTGGTTGGGTAAAATAAACAGAGAATGACTGAGGCTACTAAAAAAATCGGATTATAAATATGGTCTAATTCAAATATAAAATATATTTGTAACCATTTTATTTTGTTTTCTTAGCAATGTAGCCATACAGTTCTTTATTCTTGTACTGGATACAAGGATATGGTACAACAGGCTTTTAGAACATCATGACAGTCCAGGTGGGTTCCTCAGAATATTTCAGATGTGTCATGTGTGGTATATAGCATGTATGCAGTACATGAAAATAATTGTATCAGCTCCATTTGTTGTTTTTTTTTTTTTCTTTAGGGTAGGTAGGAGGGTAGATGTGGCAATTTCTGGCCTGGCTTAGTCTGTCCAGTTTTCCCTGGCTGAATTATATAAAAAATATACATACAAAACTTGTATATAAGATTATAAGATAAACCATATCATAAATAATGCATATAAATATATTAGATTTAAGTACATAATATAACAAATAATATGCAAGATATTATTTGTACTTGCATATATAAGCATTGATGATGTTCAAAATCACTAGGGTAAGAGAAGGCTTTGGCTGTGTCGAACTTCAGGTGGAGGTACACCACGGCCTGTATTTTACCCTGCAGCACAGTAAAAGGTCAGAGGCCCTGCGGTGAGTGAAGGTATATTAGGTTTGTCTAGCTTGTTGGAATAAATAAATGCTCACTTATTTATAAAGAAGATACCTGAACCTTGGGAGGGACAGAGTTTGAACAAGTGTCTAGGACCTCGGGCTACCTGTCTTGCTGAGAATTGACATGTTTTAGTATATGCGGATCAGAATGGGGCCCAACTCTTCCACTAATGTGGCAATGTTTAGTCGATGTGGCTACATGGGACCATCTGGTTGCTTTGGATTGCCAATTGGCATTTTAATTACCTACCCACCATTTTTTGAACATCTCAGCTCAGTGCCTTCAGTAATTGAGTAGGTGTGCTTGGTGAACCCGAGATGATCTCATTGGTTTATTTGAAGTTTTGTCTGTTCATATTAAAAATCAGCACCACATGTCAATTCTTGATAGGTGAGTAATTCAGGGCATATCAATTGCCCCCCCGTTGGGATGCCTGGCACAAGAATTGCAAGTGTTGATCCAACCGAAGGAAGTAGTGTCTGACTGACGTGTCTTGATGAAAGATCTGGTCTGAAGTTCCTCTTTGTACTCCGAGCTACAACATCATGCGGTCCAAGTAGCACATCAAGGATCAAATTGGAGAGGAGTGTCGATTCTCTTTGTTTAAGTATATATGCAACTTGGAGCCAGACTCACACGCTTTATTAAGAGCAGACGAACATGACGCTTCACATTAAACTACGGGATCAAGTTTCGAGTTGATATATGCAACAATGAGGAGGTGAAGAGTTGCTTTCCCAACCCTTAGATCTTCTTGAATCTGGTCCATTGGTGCTCTTTATAAATAAAGAGACAAGGGGGCCCATTCTTCACCTGTTTTATTGTATAGGGTAGCCTTGAGGCCGAGAGAACTCGGTGTAGGATAGTTGTGAGGTCAAGAGAGCACAGTTCCTACGTCGGTCATCTTTATCCGAACTTCATCCACTAATATTTTCCTAGTGAGTTGTCTTCTTCCATCTTTCTTTTTCCAACATGTTCCATTTTGGTGGTCAATCTAGTTCTAGGCAGGATGAGGCATCGTATCAAGATCATAGATGTGATGATTTCAGTTTCAGATCTTAACTTGATGTAAAAGAGAAAGTAAGAGAGAGAGGGAGATAAGAAGAAGAAAACCTGTTCGACTAGGCCAGGATATATAGTTTACTAAAATAAATAGAAAAAGTCTTTTATGCCCCTATTTAAGTTGGGACACATCAGCATTCACTAAAAGACACAACACCATATTAATAAACTCAAATGGCTATTCTATCCTTCTTTAGTCGACACTAACACTCCCCCTCAAGTTGGAGAGTATATATCATATAGTTCCAGCTTGTTACATATGTAATCCACTCTTGCCCGATTCAACCCTTTGGTGAACAAGGCTGCCCATTGACTCCCTGTATTAACATATGTTGTACTTATCATTCCGCTAAGAACCTTTTCTCTCACAAAGTGACAATCAACCTTTATGTGTTCTGTTCTCTCATGAAAAATTAGGTTAGAGGAGATGTGAACTGCAGCTTGGTTGTCACAATATAGTTTCATTGGAGTGATAATCAAGTACCACATCTCCTGTAGGAGATTTCTCAGCCACACTACACTAGTTCACAAGTTGTATGTGCCATGGCTCTGTATTCGGCTTCTGCACTACTTCTTGCCACCACAGTTTGCTTCTTACTCTTCCATGTCACCAAGTTAACCCCAAGGAAAGTACAATAACCTGTAGTAGACCTTCTGTCAGATATAGATCCAGCCCAATCAGCATCTGTATATTCCTCTATTTCAATATTTCCGCCACTCTTATATAGCAAGCCATGACCAAGAGCTCCCTTCAAATACCTTACAATCCTTAGGGCCATGTCCCGATGTGGAACCCGAGGATTGTGCATAATTGACTCACCACACTCACTACGATGAGATATCTGGCCAAGTGTTAGAAAGTTTAGCTTACCCACCAACCTTCTGTACCTTCCTGGATCTTCAAACTCCTCACCTGTACCACTGCTCAACTTGACATTCAATTCCATTGGTGTTTCCGCTGGTTTGACACCCAATAAGCTTGTCTCCAATAGATCAAGAACATATTTCCTCTAGCAAAATTAATACCATACTTGGACCTTGCCACTTATATCCCTAAGAAGTATTTCAATTTGCCAAGGTCTTTTGTTTGGAAATGATCATGCAGAAATGTTTTCAACCTATCAATCCCGAGCTTGTCATTGCCAGTAATAACAATATCATCAACATAAACCACTAACAAAATATTCCCCGCATCAGGGTCATAGTTGAACACTGAATGGTCAACCTAACATTGTTTCATGCCAAACTTCTTTACGACTTCATTGAATCTGCCAAACCAAGCACGAGGGGATTGTTTAAGTCCATAAATAGCTTTCTTGAGCCTACACACCTTACCATCCTCCCCCTGAGCAACAAACCCAGGTGGTTGCACCATATACACCTCTTCAAGAAGATTACCATGCAAAAAAACATTCTTAATATCAAGCTGAAACAAGGGCCAATCATGTATAGCAGCTAAGGAGATCAAAACACGAACATAACCGATCTTGGCAATAGGAGAGGTCTCTGTGTAGTCAATACAATATAACTGTGAATAACCCTTGGCAACCAACTGAGCTTTCAATCTCTCAACACTACCACCAGGCAAATACTTGACCGTATATACCCACTTACATCCTACAGTATGCTTACCTGGGGGAAGAGTGGTGAGATCCCATGTATGGTTATGAGCTAGAGCGGAGAGTTCTTCTTCCATCGCCTGACGCCACCCCGAAGAGATAAGGGTTTCCTGGACATCCTTAGGAACAGAAATAGAAGATAACAACGAAACAAATTGTCGATGGGAAGGAGATAGGTGAGAAACAGAAACATAACTGGACAAAGGATGAAGGGTACAACTACGTTAAACTTTCCGCATGGCAATGAGAAGGTCAAGGTCAGAAACAGTGAAGGGAGACTGACCATCAAGGATGGACGTAGGCATTCTGTTAATAAGAAAGCAAGATGTAAGCACATCACTCCAGAAACGTTTGGGTACATTCATATGGTGCAACAGGGACCGGGCGGCTTCTAAGAGATGGCGATTTTTCCGTTCAACTACCCAATTTTGTTGGGTGTGCAAGAGCAAAAGGTTTGATGAATAATACCATGTTGTTCTAAATATTGCTGAAAGGGAGTATAAAAATATTCTCGACCATTATCTGAATTTAGGATCTTAATGTGAATACCAAATTGAGTGCGGATTTCAGCATGAAACTTTCGGAATATAGAAAATAATTCACTTCTTTCTTTCATAAGATAAATCCATATCATCCTTGAATAATCATCAACAAAAATAACAAGGTACTTGTATCCATTGTGTGACACTATTTTATTTGGACCCAAATGTCCGAATGGACCAAAGAAAAATGACTCGACATACAATAATCGACTCTAGGACTGAAGGAAACCTGATGATGTTTCCCATACTGACACGACTCACAATCCAAAGTAAAAAGACCATTCAATGATGGAACAAGTTGCTTAAGTGCTTTAAAAGACGGGTGCCGAAGTCTGCAATGTCATTGGAGAGGGGTGAAAGACAACTGAAGAGCTGTTGAAATACAACCACAACCACCATCAAGGTAATACAGTCCACCAGCTTCATGCCCTCCACCAATCTTCATCCCCATCTTGAGATCCTGGAATACACAAGATGAAGGGTAAAAGGTGATAGAGCAATTAAGAGACTTGGTCAATTTACTAACAGACATAAGATTAAAAGGCAATTTGGGTACATACAGAACTGAAGACAAAGATAATGAACCAGTTTTAACATCACCAATACCACTTATGGAAGAAGTGGAACCATTAGCAAGAGTGACAGTGTTGGTTGTAGAGGATGAAGAAAGTGAAGAGAACACACCTAGAGTCCTAGTCATGTGATCGGAAGCTCCATAATCAATGATCTAGTGGGAGGGTTTGGATGCCAGACAAGCCATACTTGAGTAGGCAAGCATAGCTGTACTCGGTTGAGAAGTAGCCTAGATCAACCGCTCATATTCAATACGAAAAATACTCATCATCTTCTGTCCAGAGGCATCTATAGGTGAAGGTGTCGGACCAGTCTATTGAATCCCTTGTTCCATATCACCACTTGCCACTACATTATTTACCCAAGATGACGGTGGGCCATGTAG